GTCTGTTTTTAATTTTTTTTTATTTTGAAACAGGGTCTTGCTAACTTGCTTAAGGCCTAAATTGCTGAGGCTGGCCTTGAAATTGCCATCCTCCTATTCAGTCTCCTGAGCCACTGGGATTACAGGCATGTGCTATGGTGCCTGGCTCACACTGGTCACAGTTTTAAGGGCTATATGTATACATTTAAGTCCACACTTAGTTTTAGCCTGTGCACAGGTGCTATTTATCTCCCTTTTGCAGTTGAAGAAGATGAGACAGCCCTATATCTTAGTTCCCTGATCAAAATCCAACTGCAATTAAATTCAGAATTAAATTTTTGTGCTAGCTTGTCTTTCTCTGCCCAATCCAGGAAAAAGAAACCATACTTTGGAAGTACCAGGCAGAGCAAGTCATACAATGGAATGCCCACACCATTTCTTCAATTGTTTCCCTCCTCATTTACCTTTCATCTTTTTTTTTTTAATTTCCACCTATAGAGCTCTCATACAAATCTAAAACACAAATTGTGTCTCTTCTTGCTCTACAATCTTTCCAGAACTTCTTGCTGCTGCTGAGATGACCTGAAAGCTCCTTAAAATGGTTCTTACCGTTTCCCACACTCTAATCTCACCTAGGATTCTTCACAGCACCCTCTGCCATCAGGACTCTTGCATTTCCCTCTCCTCGAATGCCAAGCCTGCCCTACGTACGGAGCTCCTGGGTCATTCCATGTAACTCAGCCTTTGCTAGCAAATCCCTTCGTCCTTTGAGGAGAGAGATCAGGACTAACCTGCCTCCCCGCAACTAATAGTACCTGTAATTACATGTGCTCAGGAAACGTAGTTATTGAATGAGAGAACTGATAAATAATGATTTTATTCCACTGTCTGCATTCCATTTCCCCTTTATTATCACTTCTGATTATGGGGGTGGGGGTGGGAGAGGAAGGGAGGTAGTGAATGAATATGTATCTTCTTTTCCTTGTTCTCTAATTTTCTTTCCTTTACTTTCTTTCTTCTTCTTTTTTTTTACATATTTATTTAATTATTTATTATGGTGCTGGGGGTTGAACCTAGAACTTTCTGCATGCTAGGGCAGTGCTCTACCAACTGAGCCACCTCTCCAGCCCTATTCCCTAATTTTATAGGGAACAAATAATTTATTACTTCAACAGTCTTTCAAACACAGGCATTGTTCACTAAACTGCTTCTGTAATTTGTTTTGTTTTAAGTTATTGCCTGAGTGACTTCTGAGCTGACAACCTGAAATGAAACCTGAGAAGGACTCTGGGAGAACTTTAAGTTTCTTTAAAGATCAGCTGCAAAAAGCAAGTCAAGTGGACCCAGCACTGTGAACTGTCCTCATTAAGACCCACCTGTGGGTCCTGCCTTCCCCATTCTCCCTCCTTTCTCAGGCATTCTCTCACACTTTAAAATTCATTGCAAACTCTCTTATTTGTGGCATCAGTACCCCTGGGTTTCCTTGGTGACTATCACAGATCTTCAACAAATCAAGAGGTGTCAGGAGATAAAGAGAGGTAACATTTCAGGAGGGGAGTGGACACCTTCCCACAGCCCTCTCTTCTGTCAGCCTTCCTAGGGTGAAGGTAACAGCAAGGACAGAGCTGCAAACATGTTCCTATTTTAGTTTACAGTTTTATAAGTAGCTCTGCTCTTGGCTGTGTGCTGCAAGTTACAAGTTATGTTTTATCCTTATTTACTGCTGGGAGTATTTTAAAATTCTTTTATTTATGAAAGTCGATTGCTTCTCCCCTAAGCCTGGGAGTCATACTTTATGGCCATATTGCATTGAAGCTCATCTCCTATAGCTCTAGATAAATTTATTACGGTATTAGCTTCTGCTTTGTTTTTCTCTTTGGCTACTGAAGGGGGAAATGTTTAAATATTTAAACTTAGTGACTTGAGAAAGTGAAGATACATAATTGAGAAGCTAAATCAGAAAGAGGATCAAAGACCACAGAACACAACACGATCCAAGGCCTGTATTCTCTTGTTCTGCTTGTTTTTATTTGTGGGCTGAATATGAAGGAGTATCAGAGAGGCCTTCTGAAGTAAAGGCAGTTGGTGGGGGACAAGTAGGAAACGGGTCAGGCCAGAATGAAGGTGGCCAGACAGATAAAGGAGGAGCCATAGGTGATGTGGGATTTGTGTGCACCAGCAACTGGGGTCTTTCTAGTCCACTCAAGTTCACTCTCCCTGTGCCTAGCACCCTACCCAGCAAGGCATTCCCAGTACAAACCTCCCACCAAGCTTTCCTGTCTTGCCTGTTTCAGTTTCAGTGCAATCAACAGGGCTTCTCCCCTCATTCTTGATAGCACAGAAAGGAAAAGGCCCTTTTGAGAGAGGGCAGGCTACTCCAGGCCTTTTCTTCTCTCCTGATTACAAATTTGGCCCTTGTCACTCAGCAAATGTCTACCTCCCTCACCGAGAACATTCACACACTGATGCAAGAATAAAATTCCTCCAATTTTCTTCCCTTAAACTTCCCCTTCCCCTGAAGTCTGGAGCTGGATTTGAAACAACAATCTAGCTCCTTTCCTTGCCCTATTCCACTCATCCTCATTCTCCCCATGGGCCCTATTTTTTTTCAAGGTCATTAAGCCTACAAACAAGATCATGATTTTCTTATTTTAAAATTAATGAATAAATAAGCCAAGAATCATTCCCTTGACTCTATTTCCCAGAGTCCTACGGGTGACTGACAAGACTTCCATCTCTGGATTCTCCAAATACTTCATTTCTGCTTTTATAACATGGCATGATGTGTGGTATCTTGTCTGTTTGTATCGCTACCTTCTGTTTGGGATGAGGCCCTGATGAAGAGATAATAAAAAGAATGACCTCATTTATCAGTGATGGCAGAACACCTTGTGGGAAGTTCAATTGGCTTTCTCCTGTGACTACTTTGAGGATGGTTTTCGGCTGCTTGTAAAACTCTTGTATAACCTTGGACACTCTGAGTTAGAATAAAGAAAATGTTACTGTGCTTTTCTTTTTAT